CTTTTGCTAAATACGCCATACTTGTCGACAGTTATCATGGCTGTATATAGAATCAAGGCCTTTAATGTTACCAGATTGTCATCCGCTGTAGTTACCAACAATGCGCGGTCTGCTGACATCATTGATCCTACAAGCCGGGAGCAGTTACATCAGGGACAAGTGAACGACAGGCATGGTCACTTCCATCACCAAAATACAGGCACTAATCCCCAGCTGAATCAGCAAGCCGGAACGGCCAGCTTATCACCAGAAAGGCTGATGCACCAACGACGGTGCCAGTTCAAATTTGTTATACTAAACCCACCAGAAATTAGGACTAAAACGTCCGATTACAGGTTGGAGCCCATGAACAATCACCAAAATAGATAAGAACGTAACCAAGAGCATATTTTATCGCTCTGCGCAGTTGAATCGGTATCAGCTCCTGGCGATCCCAACCCTCCCGTGGCGGTACGGGGGTTCAAGCTCCCATGCACGCCTTCACTGGGGTACAACCAGGGCTCTTCATAAGGGGAGGGGGAAAATTCAGTGAAAATTTATCACGCTTCTTTCTTATCGTCAGTAGTAAACCTAGTGCTTTTGGGGATTTGGGACACCCTCACCCACCCCGCACACAATTTTCGAAGACCACACCCACCCCGCAAGGAATGTATTCCCCAAAAACCTACATGGGCCCGCCAGCCTTATCTTTCATTTCCGGCTCACGTAAGCAACCATATAATATGATAAGTGCAGGTAATTTGCAGATAAGGTCTGAGCTGCACGAAGCTGAATTGGTTTACTGTAATGGATTTCACAGGCATGTACGAGAATTGCATTGCAGGACCACGCTTTCAATCAAAGGCAGGCATCGGGTGGCGTTTCCTGTTTGAGCATTCATGTGTAGGTGCAACTGCCAGATGTGCCCACAACCCGTTGAGTGTTTTCATGTGACCTGTGTTCTCTGTGGCCTGTGATGTATTTGACAAATTGTGAGCAAAATGCAGCAGTGCAGTTTTGCAAAATATTGATGTGCTTGCAGTGGGGTAAACAGGGATAAGTGGCTTCCATTAAGTTGTTGGGGTCTGGAGCTGTAGTTGGACTGAATAGGAAGTTCCGCTCTATGCATAGCCTGCCACTAGCTTGGGATTATTTCAGAATGTTTTTTGTTGTGTTTAGATTTAATCCTCTCAGAACAGCAACACAGTGAACCTTATTAGACGCTGTGGGGCCCAGACAGCTGCTGGGGGTCCGAACAATGTGGATCGCTGACTAAAGTTTTATTCTTGTTTGGGAAATGGATCCTCCGATCCATGCCGACACGGAACCGGCTCGACGTTCTTGGTGGGGTCTGATCTATAAGTATTTTTTCATTATCGACTGCGGGGCCCCTGATCAGCGCACAGGGTCTTCTCATTGGCACTGGGGTGCCCGGCCCATAGGACCGCGTCCCTGAATAGAACCTCCGGCAGGTCTTTCGGGCCCTTCGGGCCTTCAAATCGGCCCCTTAGTCGTAGGTCCGAGAGGCCCTTAGGGCGCTCGGAACCTAAGGAGGGAGATAGAGACACGTCCCCCTGTGCCCCACTCAGCCTGCGCAACCGGCGCCCCTTTTAACCAGCGACTGTAATGACTATTTTAGCGCTCAGAGGCCATGGCGCAACATTTTGACCCAACGCTCATCACCTAGGAACCTCAAATTTGTACACAAGTGAGATCCCGTACACCCTGTGCGTGTGGTGTTTCTGACCCTCTTAGTTTCTGAGGTCTCCGGAGGTCAAATTGGCCCCCGAGCGAATTGTATTCGGCTGGCTACCCGGGCACGTGTTACAGTTAAGGCCATCAGTTCATTTTTTTACCTATCAAACTAACATGGATATCTCAAGTGCGTGAAATAACATGTCACAGCAAACGGTTGCGAGTCGGGTGGGAAGGGATGACCCGCGGTTATTGTCCCATCTTTGCATTGCTGGCGAAGCAGCCCGGGGTCACACCAAGTTAATCTTCAGATAATGCCAACAAAGATCATCCGCACAATATAACAACTCTCTCAATGCATCTCTATGCTCCCATTTTTGCCGCACACAAGTGAGTTCTTCCAAAACAACAACAACAACAAAAAACCGGACAATCTTAGCAGTAAAAGGGTGGATCCATATGCATCGACCAATACGCGGTTTCGTGCGACACGCACGGATCGGGTTGTTTTGGAACATTTTAAAGGATTGGTGCTAGATCTTAACAGCTAAAGCAGATGAAGATATGACACCAGCAGCGCGGTATAGAAGAACATACAGTTCACAAATAGGTCTCAAAATAGTCCGCTCTGTGGTGTACCAGCCATCGACGGCAAACTAGCCCGTGCCAAATTATTGCAGCCCATTCAGAATATGAGACACTGGGGCCTAGACAGACAGAGTTCGTGCCATGCAGACTACCCCGTGTAGAGTTGTGTGAATTGTAACTAATGTCCACTCAGCATGTTTGTATTTTGACTATTCTCCTGGCAGCACTTGCCAAAACTGTAATTCACTACAACATTTTTGATGTCAGTTACAATTGTTAAGAGAGACTACACTCATTGGTAGCCAGTTTTCGAGCTATGCCATTTGTGAAGCAGTGGGCGAACGCTTCTTCCATGGTCGTGGATAAAAAGTACTGTCATTGCTATCAGTTAATGAAGGTGAGCCGGGCTCCACAGCTTAGTTTTTATATATGCATCATAGCAGCTGACAGCTCTCACATTCGCTATCGCCTCGCTTGTACTGCGCCGCATACGGTGCTTTGCTCCTTAAATGCTCCATGCTCCATGGGTAGCCGGCGGGTCATCGCCACAGGCCGTGGCAGAGCAATGCGCACAAGAGCCTTCTCCTGAAATTGGCTAGTCCCGGCACACGGCGAGTACGTGCCGCTAAATGATGAGCCTATCCCACATCCGCAGCAGCCCGGCGTGCGGCTCTGGAAAGATGGTGATTGCAAGCATCGCACGCGGCGTTCGATCACGGCCCGCAGAGTGACGTCTTTTCCTCCAGCATCATGTGTAGTTGGGTTGCCATTCTAGAAGAGTGGGGGCTTTGAGCGTCTACACGCACTGCCATCCACCGTATCACAGAACTGCCGCCATTGGCTTTTGCTGGCATGGCGGTATGGCCTGTTTCAAGTCAGGGCTAGGAATAGAAACCGCGATGGCTCATCACGTTTGCTGCCTCCTTTGCAGCGTCATCGGCTAGTTTTTTTTTGTCCTGGTATCCCCATGTGGTTAGGGATTCAGAGAAACTTAGATTGTTCGTCATGCTGTCGCAGCTTGTGCAGAAAGTCTGAGATTCTACGTGATATACGAAAGAAATGCATGCAGCTCATGGCTTTCGGATTCTTTGCACTAGTTGTAGGGATATCAGCGAGTGGGGGTTGGTCGCCTGAAGCGTGCTGATTGAGTCGGCAAGAAGAAAACGCCTGTCACGGCTCTTTTGCACGCATTTTAAGGTCGTAAAAGCGGCAATCTAGCATGGTGCATGATAACATGCAATAAGTTTGGGATGACGTGCTACACCTTTCGATGCAGTTTTGGTTGGGGGCTGTAAAGACGAAAGCGACGGGTTGTGCAAGGGCTCGGATGCTGGTAAGGAATCCAAATCTCGTTACTTATCTCCGAGCGGGAACATAGCCTACCATTTTGGCTACCGTCGATTTTCAAAACTCAACAAGGATACGTACCGTTCATCCGTGTCATTTCCAACACCTTGGTCTTCTTAAACGAACTGTGCCTGTTAAAACAACAACACCGAAACGGAAAAGGTGATCTGTCGATAACCAGATGCACTCGCACGGTCTGATAAGATGCGAGTGATTCAAGGGTCACGAAGTCAGCGACAGGTACCACAATGCTTAGAGCATTAGATGATTCGAGGGCTCACAGACGACTGAGGCCCCCGCCAGAGCAAAGTAGCTCCAAACGAGGTTCACGGCCCCACCAGATAAGCCAAAAGCCAGTGATCGCAGTGTTGATAGCTGCGTACTATTCATGCTGATGAACTCAACATGCAAGCCACGTCACAGAGTAAACATATTTACACGTCAGATAAACTTTCATGGCAATCAACAGCGGCTTTGCGCATAATGACGCGAAATTTCACACTCGCAACATTGCTGACAACCCTGAATAGAAAGTTCTACTGTATTGCTATTATTATCATAGTTCTACATATCTATCTATCTATATGCATGTACATATATCTATAAATAGATCTACGCGCAAGCCTTCTTTTTAGTCATTTTTTAGAAAGCGTATTTGCTTGCTGCGGTTGGCAGCACAAAACATGGCAAATCGTGATAGCAATGTGTTTGCAGTGAATGTAGTTGCTCTAACGACGATTTCAGTCGTTGATGGCGCGATAAGACGCAAGAAGCCGGTGCACCCTGAAATCTCGGCCAGCAACACCGACTACTCCTTGAAAGAACGGGATTCTAGTAGACTCGAACATGTCACATCGGAGTTCAAGGAGACCATTGTGAGAGGTCTTTAAAAACCTCATGGGCTGCCGAATTGGTTAGTTGCTAAATTTAATTGTTAACCACAGAAATATCGAAAGTCAATCATGCGGGATGTGATATGCACCACTGGGTAACAGGCAGATGTGTAGTTGTCTGTTTAGTTAGGAAGAGGTCCCGGCCCCGCCCAACTTTGAGTAAGAAATGGGTCAAATTCGGGAGAACCTCTCTTTTCTGTATTTTAAGTGTGCGATCATTTTTTTTGCTTATCTCCTCCTCAACCAGCCTATTCTGCGGAGCTACATCCCTGGTTGCCACGCACTACAAAGAACCAACTAGTTTTCGTACCAATAAGTACCACTCAGTGGTTACTGAGTGGTACTTGCAAATAACTTAACATGAAACATCCAAGTATGTCACTTCACATGTCACATCATTTGGATGTCACATCTCATCACATGAGTGTCACATCACGTCTCAGTGATCACTCAGTGTTCACTGAGTGGCATTTACAAGTAAATCAACGTGTGTCTCACCTTTTTGGACCTTTAGTGGTTTTCGCTCCTCTTCACAGTATCTACCTCCCTGCCTGAAAGCGTGAAGGTCAGTTGTTGTTAACAGTGACAGCCATAATACAATCCTGTTTTCTCGAGAGATTTCGGGAACGACAAACGTGTCACCACACATTTGTTGCTTAGCAAAACTCCATTGAATTCAACTGGTACGTCCTATGCGCACCATAGATTCTCAACTTTTGTTTATTGCTGTGCCCAGCTTGCACAATCATGTGATGGGAAATCAACGCGACGAAATAAGAACGTATAGTATGCCGAAAACCTCAAACACTCAAGGTTTTGGACGACCTAAACGTCACTGTAAGCTGACCAGCATGACACAATCTGAAGGACACTGCAGAAACAGAGCATGGGAGTGACGCGGCCATAAATAAAGAGCTCACCTTTTCTTACATCTTTCGCAGACACAAAAGCACGAGAAATTGAAGAGCTTTTTCTTTTTAACGAGACAGCAGTACAGGAGAATAAGTATGATGACAATGAAGATGAGAATGGCGATGATGAGAGCAGTCTTGTCTCCAGCACTGTCGCTGGCGTGGTCGTCTCTCGTTCCTCTCTGTGAGTGCTTCGTTGCTGAATCGTATATTTCTATCGGAAGTTAACCAAAGCAGAATTACATTGAAAGTTGTGACCACTTCGAGTTGTGTTTACTACACTCTGGTTTACTTTTGTTCTTGCAGTTTAAAGACATTAACATTTATGTGTTCAAGGAGGAGCAAATATGAGTAAAGAAGACCAACAGCACCAAACATGTTTAATGCTGCAGCGATATAAAACATTTCACAATGTACAGACCTGCATTTGTTAACAGCCGGGCTAAAAAAAACGTCTAAAAGTTTGGAAGGCAGGGATATGGCCAAGTCCTTGCCTAGAATGCGCTTTTTCAATCAAAAAGAATACCCATGCTGCACGACGCTATTTCGAGTCGTTTCATAACTGCAGTAAGAAACACTGAAAATCGTGTTGGTTCCTCCTCCGGCGCATCAAAATTGGAGTACAAATGCAGCTGCAAGCGAGTGCATTCGTTTTCCTTGATTGGAGCGTTCGAAATTCGTACTAGGTTTTGAATTGAGATGGCGATTTGTGAAGTCATTCTGTGCAGTTCATAACCCTGCCCTTTTTAAGACTTCAGAGTCTCTGGTTTCTGAGCCATGAACTTATGCAGACTACTTTGCGCAGATTACTCCAAGGTCACCAGGCAAGAATGACGCAATAGAAACGTCATGAGAATGCCGCTACCTTAATGACCAGATAGGGCTCAAGGTGAACAAAAATATAATCGTCGAATGATTTTTGTCTGGTGTATGTCAGCATGATTCGTGGCATTGACAGACATCAGTTGGCCTTCAACCGATTTATTGCGTTGAAGGTAAGTTTCGAACACGAATCATGTTTTGAGCTACATAAGACAGGATTTTGGATACTGATTTTAGTTATGACAGAAATACGACTGGAAAGTTAATAAACGTACAAGAACGCCACGGCAAAGGGCAGGCGCACATAACAATATTCGGGGTGAGCAAACACACCAACAAATACCGCCATCTCTCAGCAAGTTAAAGGACTTCAAGTGAATCGGCCCTGCAATTCTGCGATTAAAATTTCTGCAAATTCTGCAACAATAGCACTTCTGACACGTCTAGCCTCGTAGCAACTCTGACGTCATAAATACGTTGCATGGCATAATAAAATGATAACGTATGGAGGAAAATGGCTACTAAATGGTGAAAACTTGTTGTGTGGAGCAGTCACTCATCCTTAAAAGCAAACCAGTATTTGCTAGAGGGCTTGTTTCATAATATCTGATGCTCACCTCAATATCTTCACATGCAGAACTTAAGGAAAGCGGAATATGAACTCCTCTAGAAATAGCGTAAAAAAGCAAAATAACCTTGAGGCTATATTTCTTGCACGTGGGAAAACCATCAGCAAAGTGCCCGACTATGAAATTTTTATGCATCCCGGATACATTCACTAAATTCATACGGTCTTGGCCGAATTCACCATATTGCTATCCAGCAAGAAGAAATACGCATTATGACTGTGAGGCTGCCGTGACGCTACTCATGAATTTATTAGCGTCTATTTCACGCTACATCTTACTTTTTTCAGGAACCACCCATTGGGACTCATCCTTTTTCTTGATCCACTTGTACGCCCGTTTCAGATCTGTTCTGTTGAATACCGGAATGACCTGTAAGGAATACGACATGTTCGCGCCCAGAACAACGACAGGCACAAATATGTGTCTGCGTAGGTGTATGTTCAGGCAAATATGTATGCGAATATATATATATATATATATATATATATATATATGCATGTATATGTCAAGACCATTAAAAAAGAATTGTACTTTGTGCTTTAAATAACTTCCGGCTGAGTTTCTCGACCTTTCCAAAACTGTTCTTCACATCGTGTAATATTACAAAGTAGCTCACCAAGAGAATGTGCCATTATCTGATGCATTCATTGTTTGGTACTTCGGGTACATCCTCTATTTATATTTAAAAGCAATAGCTAGCTTTCTTCTTTTTCGCTCAGCTGCCGACATATCATCTCGGCAACTGATGCCTTGGAAATCAGAGCATAGAACACGAGCGTACCAACAAGGAACTTCTTATGGGATGGCACCAGGGGGGGGGGGGGGGAGGGGTCGGAACCTAGTCGGGTCTAGACCTGGCATTCCCATGGTGACGTTACCATGGTATTGCTCCAGAGCAGTTACGTGTTGAATTGCGTTGCAATGCGTGTTTTTTAATAACCGTTTTCGAATACTCCTAAGTCGTTCTCTCCCATAAAAAAGTCCCAAGACGTTTGCCAGTATAACTCCTAGCCATACCCGGGGTTAAAACAGCTGTGGCGTGTCAAATATTCCAACACCAACCCGTATCCCCATACCGTGCTAGAGACATCAAATTCACAAGGTGTGTTGACCTGTACGTGATCTCATTTAAGTCAATGTTTGAAGTTCTTCGCCAACGATCCGCCATTCAACTGTCTACAGCTATGCAATGTTTGACGCCGCTAAGCCGCGTCGTTCGGAAGCCATTCCGGAAAAAAACCTTTGGGGAGTCAATTTGACTCCCCACCCGGGCACGTGTTAAAAGAGGCACTAGGGGTGTTCCTGAGCAGAAGGGCCGGAAAGGCAGATACGATGCATGAATCGCTTTTGAGCACATGCATGAGCTCGCAGCTGAAACGTTCCCTCAAAAGGTAAGAGTGTATATGCCATTTTTTGACCTGCTCCTTCTCAGCATCGTCGTAGCCACACCGAACCTTAAGTTGTATGCAAGTTTGGGGCCGGTGCAGTTATGGTCCCAAATGCATGGTATTGACGTTACACCCGTGCAGACCTAAATGCAGGTAAAAACGGCAGCCAGGCTTCTGCAAATCATTCTAGGAAGAAATGGTCGCGGTACAGGCTTGCATTGCGAAGGGGGATAACATGGATTCTCCAATAAAGTTCAATAAAGTCCAATAAATATTTATGTCCAGTCAATGTCGATAGGGACAACATAACATTTTCAGGGAGGCTGAAGACCAGCCCTAAGCTGTAAACTTCTCAACGCCTCCCCCTCCCATGCCCCTGACCTTCAAAAGCAAAGAGTTAATGAAAATTGGACCTGAATATATTGCATATTTGTCGGTCACTTGTGATGTAGATGATCCTGGAACAGTGAGGCTTTACAAAGTTGGTTTGATGTGTCAAACATGGTTAGTTGCACATCTAGAGGCAAAACTTAAAGTGTCGAACTGGAGCATTTTGTGTAATTTCTTCGATATCTGCTGGTAAGATGAGACAGACTTGAGATTTGAGTGTGCGGGGCAGGATATCATTTTTCAAGATATAAAAATGAGAATGAAATTACAGTTCTAGCGGGTACGCAATGCCAAATGACTGCACAGAACCAAACAGGATTGAGGGACAGGGTAATTTATCTATGTATAATGCACTATCTGTCAGTACTAATAGTTGCAGCTTGTCATTCTCCCACAGCATAAAGGATTGCCTATGTGAAGCAGAACCTGTGCCAACCTTCGCCTGTGCCCCAAATGGTATGCGTTAGACATATTTCTGTAATTGGACCAGTACTAGAAACAAGAGCACCTTCATCGTGCGTGTGCTGGGTCACACTTAACATCAGTTACTATAAGGACATGCCTAACACTGACTGGCATTTGGCAGGAGTGCAGTTTCCTTTTCAGGGGCTCCAGTCCCCCAAAATATTTGGCCTGCAGCCTGACTTTGAGAACAAAGTGAGCCAAATCTGGGAAGAAACAAGCCTGTTCGTCGGCGTCTTTTGAGGGGTGTGTTAATCATTTCCATACTACTCAGTTCGCTAGGGCTGAGTGGAGTGAGTTGAGGTGAGTATGAATTGAAGGCCCCAACTCATTTGGCATCCTTGACCACTTACCACGGATGCAAAATTATACGTCAACATTATTATCATTGTCATAAGGAGTAGGAAACATTACAATTGATTGCATGCCAATGATTGTATTTTAAACATCAAAACATGGTGCGTGACAACCTGAAGGCAACAAGTGCATGGCTTGATGCTGAAAGCTCATGTTATGTTTCACCGTGCTATGTTTCAAATTTTATTATTGGCATGGAACTGCACACACATGTTCTGATTACAATGTCTATCAACAGATACAGGTGGATGGGCACACAGATGGACCTTCCATGACAAATTTGAATGTAACACCGGTGCAGGGTCCAAAAATGAGAGGTTTTGTTTATTTGTAGGCTATTTCAGGACGCAATTCAGGGAAGATGATTGCATAAACATCCGGATAGTGTCATTGTAGTTACTCTTACGAAAGTGTTTAGCCGGGATTGCCGAGCATTGAACGGCGGATAATGCCTGTACTGCCCTGCATGCTGCCAGCAGAACCGTACAGTTTTGTTATGCCGCCGGAACACCATAATTGTAACATTGCCAGATTTAGACAAAGTTTTAGGCTGTCGAGGATGCTTATCTGCATATTTTCTATGACAGATTACAATTCGTAGTCAGATATTATGTGCTTACCAATTTCATTTAGGTGGCAAAATTACAAAAGTGATGGATAAAAAGCAGCACAGAGGATCGCTGTGCCGGTGCCAACCTGAAATCTAGTATATACTGGTATTATCCTGCCGCCCAACCTGTTGTTATGGGGCCATGGATAGCACTCACCGCCGTTTTGCTCTGGCAGAAATAGATATCCGTTAGCCGTCCAGAAGGCATCATTAACATCAAACTTTGTGACTTACATAATCGACATAACAAAAAAATTGTGCATGCTAATGGCCCAATGTCCGCAGAGTTCTATCAGAGCAATATTTCTTGTTTTTATCATTTATTGGCGATGCTGCTCCAGAGATATAGTTTAAAAGTTTGATGACTGTTTAGCACCGGTGAGTGGTCACGAATTAATAAAGCTTCCAGAATGTTGGGTTTTCTTGCATCGCTTGCAGACACCAAAATTTCCATGTTTTGTGTGAGCATTTGGTGCGTGAGACGAGTACTGTGGTCCGGTTGCAAGTAGTCTCTTGATTCCGTGACGGGCATTATGAGGCGTCGGAACAAAAATGTTGTTACACCGATGTAGCGTGCGTAACAAAGCCTATAATCTTCGTTGGAGCAAGGAAATTTGCATACTTTATTGCACCTTTTCACCATCTCTGTCTTGCTTGAATTGTTTTTTATGAAGAGGTCCCTAGTTTTGCGGTGTTTAAAAAATTTTCATCTGAGCACATTCCCGTTTATCCATGTGAGACTTATGAGCACTGAAATTCGCAATACCTTCTCGTCCATTTTGTAGGCAGAACTCATTTAGTTATGGCAGGAAATGTGTATGAAACGGTTCACACACACGCGCGCAGGATGCACTTATGTACATATATGTATATGGATATACATATATATATATATATATATATATATATATATATATATATAACGAATGCAAGCGTCTTGTTTTATTTATAGCTATCGATCTTCATTGCACCAGAAGGTGCTGGCTAAGCAACGTTATCAGGCAAACATTGCTTATAATGTCCAAACTCGTGTCACGCCATGACATGATGGTTACAGGTGGTATCCGGTGTGGGGGCTTGCTGATGTCGTTTAATCAGTACCTACCGGCATGTTAGAAGTCAGTAATTGCCAGCATACAAGCTAGAAGCCCGTAATGCCAAAAAAGGACGTCAGGGCTCATTTGGGTTACAACAAATATGTACAGATGTACAATCAAGTAGCCCTTCTCTCCAGCCGCGATCCCTGTCTTTCTAGGCGTGTTCCCGGAGTGCTCCATATCATTAACAGGAAGCCGGCAGCGTCCAACTCTTTAAGATTTTAATGGGGTTCTGAAGCTCATAGCATGAATAGCAATTGCGAATACACCTGAGCGTAACACCCCAGCGAATACACCTGAGCGTTATGCTGTTTAAGGCCTCCCTCCTCCTCATTACGCTACTGATATACTCCACCGACCCCCTCCCCCTCCATGCGTAACTTAGTTTATGGACGGCCCCATGCAGAACTCGTTAGAACAACATAAACCACATTGTGGACGTAAAAGACAATAACCACTGAATGATGGGAAGAGTCACGTTCGCTAGGTGTCCCACAAACACATTCCCAAAGTACGATCTACGTCCAATACATTTTGAGCATGGATGACGCAGCGTTTTTTTCTATCTAAGAATGAGCACGTGTTTTGTCTTACGTCCTCCTCCATCCACAGCAGGTAATCCTGATAAAGTTTCTTCATGAGCTTGGACCGCTCGTCAGGTTCTCGCACGCGGGCAATCAATGCAGTAATGCACCAAAATAGCTTCTCGAATGTAGCGGCCGCCTGTAAACCAAAAGACCTCTTTCAGTTTGCATACGATGGCGTGAGTCTTATCCGCATGTCTGACTCCTGGACACATCTGAATGATCGGCTGAACAACGCCAAATGAGCGCATACAATGTGCGTGCGTTATCAGCTCAGTATTCCAGTTGGCTTGCATGTTGGTACATGATTAAACAAGGCATGGCAACAGGCAAGAATAGGGAAAAATGGTCCAAACTTATGAGTTATACCCATGTGATTTATTGTTAACTGACAAATTCATGCACGGCAATCAATAAGGATAACTTTGTACGAAAATATTAGGGGAATCATTTCATATAACAAGTTAGTATTCAGTTTGATCACCAGCATTCTGGCACAATGCATTTTTTTCTCATAAGCATAGTGCTCCTATACAAATGTGGCTATATACACATGTGCGTCTGAGCGATGCCAGCACTGCTGAAGTTTTCGCGGCCCGAGTGGCAGGCGGCCGACCTCCTCGCTGTGCAGCGCGGACACAGCGCCGGTGCGGGTCTTGAGCTTCAGCTTCTTGCCCTCTCGGATGACCAAGGGCAGCGAGAAGGTGACCTCTGCTGATGTCAGCGGACCTGTACCGGACGTCACAGCCATCAGGAGCTGAGACGCCACGTCAGCGGAGAGCGCACCCGGCCAGTGAACAGGGCACCCCAACGGGACACCACAACAGGTCAACCCAACAGGGCACTAGGGGAACCAGGACGCCCCGAGAAGGTACCCCAACAGGGCACCCTAACAGGGCACCAGGATACGCTGCCAGTGGCCATAGCACCCTCAGTGGTCACGACACTCCCCCGTGGCCAGGACACCGTCATTAGTCAGGACTCCCCCCCCCCTCCGGTGGCCAGGACAAGCCGTCATTATCAGTCCAGAAGACCCCGTCAGATCCCCTGCAGATGTCGGCGGACGGCTGCTGGTCTGCGGTTTGGGGCTGGCCACACCTGCAAGCTGAAATGGGGGGGGGGGGAGGGGGGATGAGGAGAGTAGGATGGGGAGGGGTAATGTCAGGGGACCCCTGGCCGTTTTCGTGCTGGTCGCGGATGCTGCAGACCACACCGTCGCGTGAGGATGCTCGGGTATTTTTTGTCTTTGCAGAGTGGCGGACCAACCGCTGTGAAGTCATGCATGTGCTCCCTTCGGAGTAATTGCGACGTCCAGTGCGGGTTGGTGCATGCATGGCAATGAGACTCGCAGTAGATAATTGGCAGATTTGAGCGTTATGAGAATTCTAATGGCTGACTCTGCATCGGCAAATTATACGCAATATTCTATGACTGACACGTCAAGGGCACGAGGGGTGCAGGTGCGCATGAACTTGGCCTTGAGAGTTAAACTAGTGATTGCTCACTGTGCAACACTCCATTAGAGGAGAGCCGATGGTGGTCCTGCGCGAAGCCGCGGCCGTTCCAGGCCGAGCTCAGCTTTAACGAACACAACACTCCATTACAGGAGAGCCGATGGTGGTCCTGCGAGAAGCCGCGGCCGTTCCAGGCCGAGCTCAGCTTTAACGAACACTGCTAGCAAAAGGTGATGGAGTACCACCAATCACAACACTAATGACAAAACATCCATTTGTTTCAAATGCAAATGGTGCGCACAATATGCTTTAGTCTGGAGGGCTGCTTGCCTTGCACACTATTGCTGGCTGAGTAGCTCATAGCTTCAGTGCTGCTTCAAAACTTGGGTGTGAAATCTCTGCCAGTGGTAAACTGGCATCAGCCACCCTTCGCAAGACTACATCGAATGGTATTGCACACCGGTGGAGGCAACCTTTTATTATTCATATTGAGCCAAAAGGGCGCAAAACCATGCGCCTACGACTTCTTTACTTCGCATATTTGGCCAAAGTACAATTTTAAATGACCTGACTCGCTAAATGCGCGATGATCAATTACAACAAGATGTTATCTGATATAATGAAGCAACTTAAAACCGAGCACCGTTTTAAAATCGTTGTCGGGTCCAACCCATTCCATAATGTCACCTTTGTCTTGAATATAAAATGCGACTGACGTGACCTCCAAAAAAAGAGGCCACTTTAGACCCGCAGAGTGCATTAGCCCCATATTTTCAGCTGATGCAATGCATTTTTGCGTGTTTTACTGAAAATTTCTAGAGCTACTCGCATTTTGTATGCATTTAAAGGTAAACAATATTTGCTCGAACAACATGATCTCAGATCCTTTGGTTAGAGATTGCTCAAGGCTGGGATCATTTAAAACAGCTGATGAGACCTCGGTCTTCTGGCGAGGACTAACATGCCTGGCACATCCACCGGTCACCGCAGCTCCATTCCAGCTGCGGTGACCGGTCTTGCGGTCGTTGGTGCGGTGGTCATAATTTCATCTGCTCGTCGGTGGTGGTTAAAATATTATGCTCCGGCAGGATTTCAGAGAATTACTGGCTCCCAAAAGTCCGTTTTGGTTTCGCTTACCTGAAATTGAACACATGAGTGACTGCTTTCATTTGAGCATGCCGCGCTGCGTTAGCGTACGGCTTGTCGGGCCCACTGTGAACGCGTCGGTTGATCCGTACCTGTGGCCGGCGCCGGCCGGTTCAGCAGCGCCGAGCAGACTTTATCGTCCCAGACCCATGGCACATCCAGCTGTTGCTCGTCGTTGGGCGGTGCGGCCTCGACGACCGTCTCCACCTGGAGTGGCGTGTCACCCACGCGGTCAGGCACCTCCGGGTACACATCCAGCACGGGCGGCAGCATGAGCGGCTCCAGGAGCGACACGACCGGCTCCGGCGCCGCCCGCTCGACCGACACCAGCCGGGAGCGTCCCAGCAGCACCCCGCCGGCCGGCCCGGCGCCGTCCGAGTCGACGGTGATGAGACGGTGGTCATCGCTCGCGTCGTCGCCGCCCACCACCACCAGCCGGTGCGGCGAGTCTTCGCTGATGACGCTGATTTCGTCCGACTGCCGTTTTTCGTCCGTGGATTTTTGACCTGTCGTGTCGGAATCAACTCCCAGAAGAATCGCTGGTTGGGGAGAACAAAAAGAAGATACAGTCCATGTACGGAGGTGGTAGATCAAGTGGCTAGTCGGAAATAGGTTCGGACACTTTTCTCTACTCTCTAAAGTGCTGCACGGCTAGACTCATTATATGTCCTAGTAAGAAGGCATGTTTGCACTAGTTTGTGGGACCCGCACAATATTCTGCTTCAACTCACCTGTGCCATCCAGTCACAGCTAAGCGGTGCACGCACATCACTCAAACGTTTATTCTCATACAATGGCGCAGGATAAGCGGGTAAGTATGCGGCATATTGTGTCAATAGTGGTCTCAAAACCTCACACTGCTATACTCACACGCGCGGTCGTCGGCAATTATACGCCGAACTAAAAGAATCATAGCAAACTTAAGTACCAATTTGGACATCGTTTGCTTCTCAAACAATATGTCACATCAGTTTAAGCGATCGACGATTTCTTTCAATGACTCGTACAAGTGTGAGGGCGTCAATACTTTATAAGTATATAGTGTTTGATTTCGGTAATATATCTATGCACGCTGCATAAACGCTGTGCAAAACAGTGAACAACGATCTCGCGCTATTCACTCTCCAGCAGCCTGCGGCCGGAGGAAACCCTCGTTTCAGATTTCGACAGTAGATGGCAGGAGCTACCAGGGTCATCAAGGTCGCTGAGAGCGAAGTAGTTCTAGGCCTTTCTTTAAAGCCAGAATCATCAAGGTCTTCAGCGACAGCGAGCGCATTTCGCTATGCTATTTGAAAAGCAATTCTGGCATGCCACTAACTACTGATATCAACATACGCCCAATTATTGGGGTCCCATTTTTCGACGGCGGACACCGCTGTCTAACGACATACCTACGGAATTAGTCGGTGATCGTGATAAGCATCTAGCAATAATCTGTGACCCCAGACAGCAAACATACCTCAGAAGTATGCAGCTTAAGAGAATATTGATACTGCTGACCTTTGTTGGGTGTAACCCGGTGATCTAGAACAACTGGAACGTAATCATTCTCAAGCAACTGCAAAGGCGCGAATCCGAATGAACTACGGTGGCAGAACTTCAGTACAATATCAGCCACTTCTGATATGGCGACTACCTCATAATATTCTTAGAGACTCTGAAGACCAACGAAATCCTTCAGATATATCGCATCACAAACTCGTTAGCTATTAGGTGAAAGAGAACAATGTCGTGTATTTAATACTCTTGTCCTTTATTTCAAACAAGGGAAATAACTAACTGACATTGATTCAGAGCACGCAAAGGCACCCATACTGTCAAATTCATTTGTACCGCAACTCCACAGCGGTTACGTTGCCGTTCCGGTAATCTCCATAGATGAATTGCAAGGAAACTTGGATGTTGCCAACCAGTTGTGCGGCGCACACCTGCTCGTCTGGAGCGACTGCACCTGTACGGTAATGACGGGAGGGCAAATAGACATCGCAGCTCATCCCTCAGTTCCCAACTCTGCCGGACACGGGACCCAGCCGGGGCACATATCCAGCGGCTACTTAACTTCTCAATAAATCTATGATTGACGTCCGCTTCACACTTTTTCTTAACTTTCCAGTCTAGTTCACATCATCTTCAGGCTCAGGTATGGAAATCAGGTTTAGATTCGAGGGGTTATTCTGGAAAAATCTTCGGGGTCAAATGAACTACCTACCCGAGCGTGTGTTAGTTGCAAACATGAAAATAAATCGCAGTCGTTCAGTCCGCTTAGGGTCAATTGGAGTTTGACGCTACCACTTGCGTTTGACGCTACCACTACCACTTGCGTTGGACGCTACCACTTGCGTTGGACGGGTGCATGAGATTCTCACCTGATATTCTTGCAAAATACAACGCCACATAATCCAACAATGTGCATGCCTCGTAGTGTTACTTGAGGGATACGCGCAGTTATTACAGAAATTTTACGACAATTATGGCGGGATCAGCATTATCGGCCTTTTACTCACCTACACGCTTTGTGGGTAGAAGCATGCATAGTAAGCATAATAGGTCATACCATACAGTAGGTCAACTCACATCATATATAGCAGCATAGAAAGTCATGCCTCAGGCGAAGCTGAGCCCAGTTCTAGAACATTCGTTAAGTCTCGAAGTAATGCGTCTTTCCTGTACGCTTTGAACACTTTTTGGACGTTTTTTTCGCGTGATTGTGATTAAGTCATGGGCATCAGCGATCAGGCAAGAATCTGAACTAGTCAAAAGTAGGCACGCAAAATATATTTCGAAATCAGAATCCATGACGCCTGAACAAATCAGTTGGCAAGTGCAGGATACGTGAATCACCTTTTTCTCTTTCATCACGATGCGTTGGCATTCAACTTTCATTAGAGTGAGGACGCAGCCACCTCAGGTTACATGCTTCTATGCATGTCACAATATATTTTACCTATTTCTGAATTCCTGGATATTTGTTAATACTTTCCCTGCAACCTTTAACCTTTCCAAGCAGGGTGCGTCAATGATAGACATTTGTCTAGCGCTGTAAATGAGATTTTGCCCTGCCACTTTTGGCCACTGCTCCGTATTTTAGACCAAGGCCGTCGCAAAACGACGCTTTTCGCCAGAGAAACTGTATTCGTATACGCTTCTCCACATACGGGAAAAAATAAACCCCTGGACACTGATTACGTGGATAACGTGGATAACGCATGGCTCTGTACATGATCACATCAAAAGTTCGGTTGAACCACACCTTACGGTAGATATCAACCGCCGTTGGGGTGTACGTTATGTACGAAATATACGGAACATTTATGAACCATTATGTACCGAAACATTATGTACCATATGTACGAAATGATGGCTGTAACCTGGTGGAAACTTGCTCTGGTGCCCGAGGATGGTTGGTATTCGTAAATGCATAATAGACATATTTCATACTACGCTTATAATTTTAGCCCATGATCGTGAGACAGACCCATAGTCCTCCCATGGTGCCTTTCGTTCCAAGTGCCCACGCGTAATTTAGTATGGTGACGCCGCATTAGTTTAAAAGAACGATGCAAATTATGATGCTGAGTTGTGACAAAGTGTGACACGGTAATAAGATCAAGCGATTGCGAGTCACCGTGCGATGGTGAGGGATTGCTGGCGTGACATGGATCGTTGAGCCCGGAATCCGGCCGCAATCTCGTGATTGTATACAACGTGATGACTGAGTGTTTATGTCATACTTGGAGCTTAAAGGAAGGCACCATAGAAACCGCAAGTCGCATGACTGTATTAGCAGGTGATTCTTGTGCCCTCCAGTCATCATTCTAATGCCCCATGTTTGCGCCTTCACAAACGGGGAACAAGCACAGTAGAACAATGCTGACTGTCTGATCGTATGACTCCGAGTCGAACTGTGTTCACAGTGATGTGCTTTAATCCGTTTACCTGAAAGTTGAAACCATCACATTCCTTTAACATGTTGCGAGACACTTGCTTGTTCTCCATATACATACCACGGCCATAGGGGAAGGTTGTCTTCGGCTCTCAGGTGCACACCACATGTCCCAAAATGTACATTACAGTAAGCGTCGGTCCCACAGTCATGCTGCAATCTTAACCTGCTGGTACCAGACTCGGCGTAAAATGCACTGAAGCTCCCTTCGACTTGAAATTGCTTGCTCCAAGCTCCGAGCCGTGCTGCGATTTTTCCACAAGTTAGGCCATACCCTTGCGCCTTTGCGCGGCCGCGGTAATCTCCCCAAGAGTACCGCTGACGGCAGTAATTAGCTGTGGTTTACCTGCCCGGCGAGGGGACGGAAAGCCCCGCGCCCAATGAGCTGTGTCGGCACTACTCTCACGCGACACAACGGAAACGACAGCCCTGTCAAGTTCATACATTCGATGGACACAACTAAAGTACCGGAAGAGTTGGCCGTTTTCGCTGCCCTGCGCGCAGCCCAGAGGTCACGATTGGAGGTCGGCGAACATACCACCTAAGCCTCAAACGGCTGGTCCCAGCCAGTGTGGAAATAACCAGCCACAGGATTACTGGGCGTCGGAATACAGCGCTCTTCACACTCTCCAACGGGGGCCACACGGCGTATTGGACGAGGGGGAACGCACACAAAAAGGTATGCTCGAAGTCCTTAGCGAAAAGCGGCAATTAGAAACCGTCCGAGATAATTTTCAGGGTTTTAACGTCAAAGAAAAAGCAACTGACACTGACCACGCCATGTCCTCGAGGACAATCAGAGATTCAAACGGGCTGGCAAGCGGTCGGTATGAACACTGTCAATGCTCTTGCCCACCTCCAGCTGTGACTCGTCTAGGTCAGCGAGAACGCTCTAGATCCCTTCAGCACTTCGTTGTATTGCTCTCACTCCCGTGGCACTCACTCCTTAGACTGTTGGCCACCAGCCGACATGCTCCTGCCACACCACCCTCTCGCTGATCACCGGGCCAGGGGACGTCAGTCGCTGGCCCGGTGTTCCCAGATGTCAGCCGAGATGGGAGCACCTGCGCGGTAAGGCTAGTGCGTCCCAACTCAGCAGAGCTGTTGCAGAGACGGCTGGTGCTGCCATCAGTCCGCCACTTCACCCCAGTCCGTGTCGCAGCTGTGGGCCGGCGCAGCCCACATCACAGCTGATGACCGGCACAGTCCACATCGCAGCTGCTGACCGGCATAGTCCAAATCACAGCTGATGATAGACGCAGTCTGCATCACAGCTGATGACTGGTGTAGTCCACATCGCAGCTGCTGACCGGCACAGTCCGCATCGCAGCTGCTGACCGGCACAGTCCACATAGCAGCTGCTGACCGGCATAGTCCAAATCACAGCTGATGATAGAAGCGGTATGCATCACAGCTGATGACCCGGACAGTACGCATCACATCTGACAATCGGCGCTGGCTGCATCACAGTTGATGATGGACGCAGTCCACATACAGCTGTTGATCGGGGCAGTCAGCGCTGGCCGCAGCGAATCACTGATGAGCCCAGCTCCTGCAACAGCTGCCAACCAGACTCCAAGAATTTTTTTTTTTCGTGAGCACTCACCACTTGTCTGTAACGCCCTCTCCCCATTCCCTGCAGACCGGCCTGGGGCGCCTAATGAGGTCGGCGCGGCCGTCCCGGGCCGGTTAATAAAGTCATAAGGTCAGGAGGTCACAATGTCATGGGCCAGTCACCTGGGGGGAGGGTGCCGAGACCAGGCGGAGCGTCCCTGCGAACAACGGGTACTAACGTCGTAAGATTGGTCAGCACCGGACGAGTCGCAGTCGCTGCGCGCCAATCAGCGGGTGACAAATGTGTGAACCTTGAGCAGTGCAACTGAGAGGGGCTTCTCGGTGGTTTCTGACTGCGAACTTGGGTTCTAACTGGAGAACGTTCTGGGTCTTCCGTCATGGAAACCATCAAAAAACCCGATGAGACCGGCAGTGGCGCATTGCAGCTTTGTAGGTAGGTGGATGTTCACACGGGTATTACAGCCCACCAAAACTTTTGGCCGCCAAGTAACCGTTTCATAACGGATCACAGGAGCGTCGCAACA